AGATGTTGGTGTAATCATTTCCTCCAAAAGAGTTCTCTCTGCGTGTGATGAGGGACAAAATCCACAACCCTCTTTCCTGCACAAATATATTCACAAGTTTATCCAAAACTACGTCAGCCATTTTCCACTTAAGTTACTTTTAATGTGAACTGTCTTTTTTGTGTTACTGTCCCTCCATCACAGCTCAATGCTTAAACACCGTTGAGTGAAACAGAAAGATGGAGTTTTATACTAAGTTTCCAAGACATGTATCTTCATTTGACTTACTCAGACTGCTTAAGCAATATTATTTGCTTTAAAAAATATTCAGAAAACATTTGTGTACAAAAGTTGCTGATTAGATACATAAGAAACTGGTGTCGGTGTTCATATTGGCACAGAGGTATGAAACATTCTGAATCCATCTTTTAAGCTACAAATGCTTATGGTTCATGATATATACATGCTGATACAAACACATATTTGTTGCCTTTTTTTTGTTTACAGCATTTGGCAGCTGTAAACTACAAAATGAATGATGGCTGAAATTCATTTAGCTGCTTTGGTTTCAGTGTCCTGCTTAGAAGTTTTACTTAAGCAAAAATTAATTATGAGCTACCTAACCATCATAATATAACATCCATCCATCCATTATCTATACACTGCTTAATCCTCACTAGGGAATGATGCTTTGTCCATCCATCCATCCATCCATCCATCCATCCATTATCTATACACTGCTTAATCCTCACTAGGGTCATGGGGGTGGGGCTGGAGCACCAGGGGACACCCTGGACAGGTCACCAGTCTATCACAGGGCTACACTTAGAGACAGATAACCAAGCACACTCACATTCACACCTACGGACAATTTAGAATCAGTAATTAACCTCAACATGTTTTTGGATTGTGGGAGAAAGCCGAAGAACCCGGAGAGAACCCACGGGGAGAACATGAACAAACTCCTTGCAAAAAGATCTCAGGTGTCCTCACTGGGACGTGAACCAGGGACCTTCTTGCTGTGAGGCAACAGTGCTGACCACCGAGCCACCTTGCAGCCCCATAATATAATATAACATAACATAACATAACATAACATAACATAACATAACATAACATAACATAACATAATTGGCTAAATTGAGCCAAGATTTAATGAAATGAGTAAATCTATAACTGTAATGTATACACAATGTTTTATTCTCTATTATGCTTTTTTCAACTACTAACTACTGTAATGAATAACTCAGAGATTTCTAAGGTGCAATATGCTGCAGCGTAAAATAAAAATACTCAAGTAAGGTGAAACAACCTTTCAATAGTAAATTAATTGTAATTTAAAGTCCGTTTACATCATTACTTTCCACTTTACGACTACTACAGTACCACTACCATTATTATTACTGCCCTGCTATTATGTACACTACTGTTCATAATACTGTTATTGTTGTTATGTTATGATGCTGACAAAGACAAATCTGCTTGCAGGTCTGGCCAAGAATTTACTATAAAAAACATGCATTTGAATTCTGATTGTTTGGATTCTACTTTCGTTGTTATTTTCGGACAATTTAATATAAAAATAGCAATTTGAATTTCATCATGTTCCTTATCGAGACCCCAGAGAAAAAATAGTTAAACTGATTTCAAAAATTATTAGTCTTCAATAGGAAAAATGTTTCATATAGTAACTTGATTTAATTTCTTTCTCTCGCTCAGCTTTACTGTCTTTCGGCCTGCAAACTGAATCAAACACATTCACATGCACACACACATGAGCAGCTGAACAGATGTTATCAAACACTTTACCGTATCAGCTCGGTTACATTCTAATGAGCCGTTAAACTCAGAAACAAATGCAACTCAGCAAACAATAGCCTACTTTTCCTGAGGTAGTGGTTTCATTTGGGCAGAACAGAGTGTTTACGCACAGAATAGACATTTGTAGAGAGAGAGGAAGGATAATCTAGAAAAGCGAGTTTTTAAACGCTGCTTAACATTTAAACTGCTGAAGCCTGGAGGCAAGGAAATAGACAATGTGTCCAGACATCTAGACCCAACAGTCACGCAGTCACAAAAGTGTTTTGTTTTGACATTTGTTAAAGCAATGTAAAAAAATAAGTACAATAATAAGTGGAAACAGTTGACTTTTTGGTATTTCTTAACAAGCAAATAGTTGATTCTCTTCCTACAGACAAATGTGTTAAACCTGTGGATAAAGTGAAAACACTCTTGTCTCCACCTTTAGCTGAAAAAAGTTCTTGTCGGCGTTTTGCATAATTGCTCACAGTCTCCCCCCACAACATTTCAGTGGGATTCAAATCTAGTCTTTGATCAGGACATTCTCCAACCCTTCGTTGAGCCGTTCCAGGAGATTTGTTGGTGTGCTTCTAGAATCATTATCACAGTAAACGATCTACTTCCGGTTTGTCTTCATCTTTTGGACAGGTAACAGGTTTACATTATTTATAGTCTTTGATATGATGCAGAAATTAGGCATCAACACAACTCCAGACCATAATGCTGCCACCACCATGCTTCATAGGTGGTATGAGGTTCTATTGTTGGTTCGTCTGTCTACATGGTTCTGAAAGACCTGCTCTTTGCTTCAATTGGCAAAGTGTAGTTTTGCTCTAACGTTCTTTTTGGATGACAAAAGTTTTTTCCTGGCACGCCTCTCTGATAGCAGCCACATGCACTTTAACACCAATAGCTGCCAGAGTTGCCTGCAGACCCTATGGTGACATTCAGGGGTTCTTAAAGACTTCTTTTTGCCTCAGATGGTCTGCTCATGGGCTAAATGTGCTGTGGTGGACAGTTCTGGACAAACTGGCAGTCAATTGAAGTCAATCGATCACTTGTAGTTGATTGTCTTTGCCGTGGAAACCCCTCACCAGACTCATAGGCAACTACAACATTTTCTCTGAAGGCCTTAGAGAGCTCTTTAGAGCTTTACACACTCTGACGCCACACAATTCAACAGCCAAGGGAACAGCAGAACCCAGATGTTCCACCAGACACTCCACAAGGATGTTGTAATCACTGTCTCCTTATCCGGAACCCCTGATTACAATTTTATGCATCTGAAATAGTCATACATGTAGGAGTACCCTTACTTTTATTTCCAAAATCTACATTTTATGTGCCACTTGTTTGATTGCATCGCCTTCATCTTTAGGCACTATAACAAAGAAGGTTGAATGTCTGCCCGTCCAAATATGTTGAAAAAGTTAACATTTGCCTTTTTTTTTTTACATGAAAAAAGAGAATTGTTGGATCGACTTAATGCTTCAGTTGGTAACACGCAATGTATTTAATTCATCCAAATTAAGCTGACTAATGACAGTAGTTTAAGTCAGATGAACTGAAATCAGTTTATTTCTCTAAAATTAACAGTTTACATTGTGTCAACTTGATTTTAAGGAACGTTTGCTTTACCCAAACGTAAAATGTAAAACAAGATTCCTGTCTCTGTGATGCTACTTAAGGAAAATATCAGAACTTTTTAAAGAAATGCCGACGTCATGATGCTACGACAGCACAATGCTAAAGGAAGAGCAGTTGCTGAAATTACAATACCAGTTTAAAAGGGCCAAGTTGTAATTTCAAACTGACGGAATCCACAAAAGTAAACTGCAATCACTGTAGCAGAAAGATAAATGAAATTCATTCAAAACAGTACGTTACTTTAACTAAAACATAAATACACTTTTTGCAATGTATGTAGGGATTATATATTAGTATTTGCTAATCTGGCCACATTTTACACAAGCAAACATTCTGAAGAGGATGAACTTTAGCAGAAATTTTAAACAAACAAAAACAAACGTATTAGGCATTGGCCAATAAATAACAGCTACTGATGGCGTTACCGTAAAGCCGTGTTTGCTTCTCATCGCACCATGTGCTCATATCATGTGCCAGTGTTATCAAAACGCTTTGGACTGAGGTCAAGTCACCTGATTAATCTACTTCACTCTGCTATTTGTGCAGCACTTTCCCTGTTTACCAAAAGGTTGACAGAATCGGATCGAGTGCAAAACATTTTACTTTAAATATGTTTTAGTGAACTCTCTGGATGCAGTTTGTCTATTTAGGTGTTTTTCTTTTTTTTTTTTGTTCTTTTGTTTAATGCCTCATATATCCTCCTCGGCTCAGAGCAATGGAATGAAAGGAGGCAAAGCAGATAGAAAAGCAATATGTGATAAATCAACGTATGCCTTAATCATTTTAAATTACTGCAGGTTCATAATTTGTCAAATGGGCTTAAATACTAGCCTCTAGCACCACTCCCAGTCTGGTGAGCTCTTACTCATACCATTATGAATCTGTTCCAGCAACTTATCCTTTATCCACATAGAGCATTATATGTGTCCCACCCTTATTGTTGTATTCTATCAAGCTTTCTTTTGCAGTTAATTTGCAACCCATAGTGACCATTTGATTGACATTTTTAAAAGGCAGTGGGTGTTGCATTGTGATAGCGGCCAAACAACTCTTTTAACAGTGAAACTAACAAACACACTCATTTTACTTGTAGCTGGGAAACCAAACAAGGCTTTGATGTTATTTTTTCTTATCTGCATTCACGATCTGAAAGGTGTAGCAGGCTGGATTCTGACTGATGTTAAAAAAAAATGGAAGGGAAGGTTAGAAGTTCACCTCACGACTTGATTAATTTTGATCACACAGATTCATGTGAGAATCTGAAATTAATTCTGGATTAAAGCACTTTAAAAAGACAAACAATGGCTGAATTTAACTGCAACAACGGCTCCAGTTGGCAAAGCTACAATGACTGATTCCTTGGTAAGGCACAGAAAAGTCAATACCATAGAACAAATGTCAAGTTTACTTTGGGATTGCTGCTGTTTAAATATTGGGCATCTGGGTAGAGTGTCAGTGCAGCATCAATGCTGCTCTGTCTCACAAAATGTCACGCAGGGTGTCAAAGTGTTGTGAGGCTGATGACACATGGGCCTTTAATGGAAACAGTGCTTTCTTCTTCTAGGAACCTGATGATGGGGAGTCCAATCTGTGAGCACACGGGCTGCACCGCACACTCGCCTCTCTACTTCAGCCACCCCCATGCTCACCCCAGGCCGGCCTGGCTGGACGAGGCAGAGGATGTCAAACCGCCCCACGCTTTGCTGGGGTTCCCTGAGCTCAGCTGGCCGGGGGTCTGCATCCCCTACACCGACAGATTAGCCACCGAGGAGAACTCCTGGGTGCTGAGAATGACAGAGGCCCCTGCTCCCGCCGCTCCTCCCTGCAGGACTCCAGAGCAGAGACTATACGCTCCAAGCCAAGCCCAGCATCCGCCCCCAGAGATGGAGGCTCAGGCGGAGGAGCGCTGCCTGGAGCAGGTCCAGACTATGGTGGTGGGAGAGGTGCTGAAAGACGTTGACACCGCCTGTAAGCTGCTCAACATCACACCGGGTAGGATGGAATATGACTTTATCATCATAAAATGACATTTAAGTAGAAAACCTGCTGTCCAAGTGTTGGCAGAAGCTGTCGTCTAATAAAACACATCATAAAGGAGCCATTATTCGTTTGTTTGCTCTCGTGTTACCTTCCAGCGAGACACCTTGTGAGGACCCGAGTCCCTCCCGACCACCTTGTGCAAACTCTTCTATTGACACAAGCACTTCACATGAACTTTATCTGGAGCTTTAAAATCATACAACCATGTGTGCATGATTATTTGTTTTTTGTCACAGCACGCTTCTTACATAACTCAGCAGACATATGAACAGAACCTCCTCGTGCATGTTGTATCATAGTGTTCAAAACACATCAGTAATTTAGTTTTGTGTTAATAATGGAGTTGTTCTGCTTGCAAGATGGAGACTTTTACTCATTTTCAGAATAAAAACAGCAAAATATCAATAATGTTTTGTTCCTTATATAAGTTGAGCTCAATAAAATGCTGTATCCTACATTTCCCATAGTGCAGCTGACAGCATTATTTTAGTGAATAATTATTTTATTCAATAATTTCCCTGAGGTTTGCACCAAAGGGATCAATAAAGTTCTATTCTATTCTATTCTAGTGAAGGGGGCGGCTGTGGATCAGGTGGTAGAGTGGGTTGTCCTCTAATTGGTTGGTGGTTCGATCCCCCACCCCTCATAGTGTCCTTGGGCAAGACATTGAACCCAAAAGTCCCAATGGCAGGCACCTTGCATGGCAGCTCTGTTGCCACTGGTGTATCAATGTGATCTACTCTCTGATGTACGCCTGGTAAATGAAATTATAAATTGTAGTTAGATGCTAACTGCCAAGTAGATGTCTGCAAATTTGAACTAGTCTTTAAGGTGAACATTTGCTGTTTCTAAACCTAAAAGGAAATCACTCGAGTGAAGTCACTAACCAGAGAAAACAACTTATACAGACTGTTTCCAAAGGCTGAGTAGAGACTGGCTTTGCAGAGTAAAATCTTCTAGGAAACTAAAGATTACCTTGAATTTTGTTTTTCTTTTTGTTGTGTATGTTTTGGTTTGGTTAATAACACAACATTTATTATTTACACAATAGTTTACAGTTCACAGTTTCCTTTGGTTTTCACATGAATTATTGTCTGTCTTGGAGTCCTGTTCAGGTCTAAAACAACAACAACAACAACAACAACAACAACAACAACAACAACAACAAAAAACAGTTGAGTCAGTGTTGCACTTCCATAAAAAAAGAAAAAAGAATGCTCTATATTAAAGCAACAGAGCCTGAGATTTAACAATCCTTAGTCCCTGGTGTGAGTCAAACTCCAAAAACTCAAGATCCCATGATGCAACCAATAGCAGCCACTAGTTTAACCCTCCCTGCCTTCTACAAAGCTTTGTGTCCCAGAGTTTTTAACAGAGACTTTCTAATATAAAGTTTTGGTCCTACACTGGCTTAGTAGTGCTTTTTATAAACTGATCTTTATGTGTAAAATCAGTAAAATGTCCCATATGCACCCACAATTTGACAATTTGAGATGTGAGACTTGAAACCAAGATAGAGAGATAATGGCTGATAATGTGAGTACTTTTATATAATCAAGAATTATCATCAAAGCTGAGATACCTTGTCTCTCTGTGTTGTTCTCTTTAGACCCCTTGAGCTGGAACTGTGTGCACGTCCAGAAGTGGCTGCTGTGGACAGAGCACCTCTACAGACTGCCACAGGTCAGCGTGATGTTTCAGGAGCTGAGTGGCAGAGATCTGTGCTCCATGACAGAAGCCGACTTCAAGCAACGCTCCTCACAGTTTGGAGACATCCTGTACGCTCACCTGGACATCTGGAGATCGGGTAAGAACAACAGAAACTTGAAACAGATGCCAACATCAGCTCTGTTGTCAGTACAGTAGGGATGGCAAATCAGCCTCATGTTGTTGAGCTAAGATATTCTCTTTAGTTAAGTCTGCTACATGATTGTTTTTGTGTGTTTAGCTGCAGCAATGAAGGAGCGCTGCCCACCAGAAGACAGCAAATCCGGTAAGCACTTACTTTAGACTTCTACACAAACACGACGTTCTGATCATAGCTGTTTACTGATTAAAAGACAAAGCCAAGTAAAAAAAAAAAAACACTTAACATAATGACAAATGTGACATGTTGTTGCTGTAATTCTCTCCTACGTAGCAGCTGATGAGGACTCCTGGTCAGATATGATGTGTAATTTCCCCAACCAGCCCATCCACCTGTGGCAGTTCCTGCAGGAGCTGCTGCTCAAACCTCATAACTACAGCCGCTGCATCCGCTGGCTCAACAAAGAGAAAGGTAAAGATGTCCAGAGTCCCCGAGAGCTGCAGGATGGTAACTTGGCTCACCAGTTGTGTGGGTGCAAGTGACATTTAACAGGGATTTTTTTTTAAACTAAAAGCTCTCTGACACTCACAGTGGGAAGCACACAGGCAAGTACTGAATGGATCAGAGCTGCCTTTAATGTGATTAGTGTCACCTGCACCTCTCTTTGCTATGACAAGATAAAATGCGTAATTTTGGCAACGTTTGGTAAATTCGGTTAGACTTTTCATTAGGGCTTGGCACATTTGAAACAGCATCCACTGCTATAAGTACATTAGAAACAGTCAAATGTGAAGATATTAGCAGCTGGCAGTCTTTTTTCCAATTAAAGGAGGCTAATTTTAAGATATAACATCAAAGACCATTTTGCTGAGGAGATTTTAAATGAACTACTTTCATCTTTCATCAAAGAGGACTTTTACATTTGACACTTACATGCTTTCTTTCCAACCGCTACATGAGAAAATTGATGCCACTCTCATGTCTAAACACTGTATGAAGGTAAAGGCAGCTGCTGCTAGCTTAGCTTAGCATAAAGTCAGATAGGTGAACAGATGGCCAGGTTTTGTCCAAAGGTTTGAAAAAATAAAATTCCCAAACAACTCAGTTAAAGCTCGCTCACTTTGTGCTTTAGAAGTGCAAAGATTTTTAGTAACATTTGGACAGAGCCATGCTAGCTTTCTCTCTTGTTCCTAGTGTTAGAGCTATGCTAAGCTAAGCTAACTGGGTCAGTGCGGCTGACCTCAGATAGCAGCAGAGTTGACACCTTCCATGAAAAACAAAGGACCCCCCACAATCCAAGCTACACTTTACCATAATGTTTAAGTTAAATTAAGATTCATATTTAAAGTTTAAAGTGCTTTTTTCAAAAATGTGTTTTAGCTTTTAAGCTATAAACTCCAAAACAAATGGTACTTTAGTAGACCGATGCTATCAATATTTAATTGAACCTCTCATTCTATATCTCTCATTTCATACTGCTAATTCATTCATACTGAAGGATGCAGTATTCCAGATTGATAAAGCATATGTTGATAAGGTATAATAGTGTTCTTCCATCACATAGACAGCACTACATTGATAATCATTCATTATTTAAATCAATCAATATTTTTGTACCTTATGGTTTACTATTGAGGCCTGTCCACGTGAAGACACGCCCACCACCAGGAAATCAGTCCTTTCTATGTGATGTGATAAACTGATTTGCAAGTAAATACAGCTAGACATTCAATATAATCAGAATAGAAAGCGAAGTCTCATCACAGACACGAATAAGAAGTTGTCATTACCGTATCAGCCTCAGGAAATGTTTGGGGTTCGAGGAGCTGAGAAGACCCGCCTCTGGCCGCTACGCTACTTCTTATTGGCTCTGACCAGGTAGTCTCTCAACCAATCACTGGCAAGCTCTCCACCTCATGGCTAAAACTAACCAATCAAACAACGACCACTATTAGTAGGCGGAACTGGGCACTTCCGTATTGATTGAAAATGTGATGCAATGTTCAAGAGAAAAATATGAGAAAATTCCACATTTTTGGGACGCAAAACTACGTTCTGCAAAATAGTTGGGCTGAATTTTGAGAATCATGTTTTCATGTTTTTTTTTTTTTTTTCATTTTTAACTAGAAAAAAACACACACACACACACACACACAAAACAAGCAAACAAATAACAGAAAAATGGGAAGACATTTAAATACCTATTAAAAACCTTAAATATTCTTAAATACCTACAGAAACTAGACTTCCACAGCAATTAAAGTTAATGAGGACTTTCCTTTCCAGCAGATTTCAATGACTGAATGGCCCCAGCAAAAAAGAAATTAATTAACTAATTTCTAATGACGCCTACAACTCTGAATTTTCTGTGATGGAATTAATGAAACACATGTGACTTTGTCACAAAAAACTGTCATGCATTTTGGGTCCAATCACAGATAATATTTTAAGTCTTCAAGAAAAATGACAAAATCTGCTGAGTCAAAAATATTTTATCGTGAATTGTTTTACAGAGCTTTTTTTTCTGGCCTCAGTGATAACATTTATATTGATTAAACTAAACCTGTTTCCTGATTTCTGTAGGAAGTTCTTTTAGCCTAAGTTTTAGGAAACAATACTAAGAGTGATATATATTGTCTCATGTAACTCTTGTCAGGAAAGCAAATAAGGATATTATCCAAAATGTTCAGCTATTTGTTTTTGTACACGTAATTTACAATTTTATTGACAGTACATTCACTTAAATCATGTACTTGAGTATTTTCTACCTGTAAAACAAATACAAAAAAGAATCCAAACTAAGTGAATTCTTCTGTTTAAAGGAATTTTCAAGATAGAAGACTCAGCTCACGTGGCCAGGCTGTGGGGCATCAGGAAGAACCGGCCGGCAATGAACTATGACAAACTGAGCCGCTCTATACGCCAGTACTACAAGAAGGGAATCATTCGAAAGCCTGAAGTGTCTCGCAGACTGGTCTACCAGTTTGTCAACCCTGTATGATGGAGAATGAACTGAGGGGATATAAAAGATATGCTGGCCATACAGTAGAAGAAGAACTCTGAAGCTCATTCCACTGACTGTATTTGATGTTTCATTTCAACTGTAAAGACTGCCTACAACAACATGCACTCCTGCCTATCAGAATTTCACTCTACTTTATTATTCTAAACACTACATTTTATTATGTTTCTCTCCTCTTTGGCTGTGTTTATAATTGCTTTTTTTTTTTGGTGTGAGGTTTGGTTTTTCTAAAAGGTGCTTATTTTTTTTCTAAGCCCTTCTAACTGAAGATTTAAAACTTTGGGAAATCCACTTTATTACTAATGAGAAGATCTATGCCACTCGAGCAGCTGGGGAAATAATCCTGTGGAAAACATGGATTGTTTTTTTGCATTTCACATTAAACTAAGAACATACAGTGAACTTTAGAGGTGCTGGTACCTTTGGGATCCCAGTGTTTGTTCTACACTGGGCTAACTGGCTGCTGGCTACAGCTACATATTCAACACACACAAGAGGTGACTCAGTCTTCTCATGCAACTATCAGACCTAAAGTGAATATGCATTATCTCCAAAAAAAAAGTCAAACTATGCCTTTAAATCCTTTCTTTTTCTCTAATTCAAGACTCAAACATGTAGAAGTTGCAGAGCAATGCCAAAGTGAGTGAGTGAGTATTTTATTAAACCCGTCTTGTTAAATAGTCATTTTTACGCGTCTATCTTTGGGTATTTGTTAAGGCTCTACAATAAAGCAATAAATTATTACCAAGATTTCCCTCTTTTTCATGGAATACTCTCAAAGTCACAATGTGCAGTCCATACACAAAAAACACACAGACACTACCTTTGTTTTTGTTTTTTTTCAACAAACTTGTTTCCCTTTCAAACCAATATCGCAATATTGACACCACCACAACAAATTTGATTTGGGTTTTTCATCACTATCGTCATTATTATCTGTGATCATAATCATCTTTATGCATATTTAAATGAACTTCTTGTTACATCAAGATGAACAGGCACTACACCAGTTAGGAGATAAAAGTACATCACTAACTATGAACATACATCTTCTAGACCGCTAATATAGGGTTTCCACAACATGAGCTGCTGTCCCCTGTGTGCATAAGGAAGAGATCAACATAAAAAAGCATTTACATGTACACCTTTTTACTGCCTCAACATGGTTAGGTCTCATTTTCAACTCAACACAGTTGTACAGTTACAATAGAATATAATCTTTAAATTACATCATCATATACAAATCTGACAGCGTGGGATAACGTCACGCTTTTATGATACACTGACAATTCCATTGCAATAAAATTCATACGATATGGTACCTATTACTTAATATGTTTTCCATTGCTGTTATTTAATGAAACACATTTACATGTATAACACTACATTTTGTCTTAATAGTCAATCACTTGCATTTTTTTATTTATTTTTTTTTAAACATTTTTTTTTCTGTTACATTTACACAACTCATACACACTGGATGATGAAGATGTTTTGCCCCAAAATATTAACCTGGTAATGTGGATTTTGTGTTCAAACTTGCGCGTGTCGTGTATATAATGCGTTTTAATGCGTGTGTGTTCGCGCGTGTGTGTGTGTGTTTGTGTGTGTACGTGCATCGAGGATGTAGGACGGTTGGATGACAGGAGTCCTTTTTGCTATGCTGGACAGCTTTACTCTAAGACACAACTTGTGAGCTGGTGATGTGTTTCTCCTCATGTGTGAGACCCAAACCTGTCGAATCCAGTTCCAGACACAGAGCTAAACACATCTGACGGCTGTTGGTCCAGTGACATTTTAAAATCGTAGGACAACTAAGTTATAAAAAGCATTTCTTCCATCTTATCAGAGATTTAGGTGCAACTCGTAGCAAGATAACTGACGGATTAACATCTGATGAATGGAATTCCTGCAATAAATTTAACTTCTATGGAGAAAGTTAAAGAGTTTAAAAACAGCCATGTAATGTACACGCACTGTGTAAGGGTCGTCTTACATGCAGTGCGCTATTGGTGACATGTATTCCCCTGTGTTGTGAGCAGACAAATGAAGTTTTGGGTGGACTGGGAAGCAACTACAGGTTGATCTTCACTGAAGCTGTTTCACATGTGATATGTGAAATTATTGCATGGAGAGAAAACAGATAGTTGATACTATTGGGTCGTTCTTTGGCTCAGCAGGAAAACGGGCCACCATAACTAGTGCTTTTTGCTAGGCAGGGCTTTAAATGACAGCGGAGGACAATGTTTAGACAACATGCCCTCTTTCGAGCCCGATCACTAGTACATTCATGTCCTGTTGGAGAGGCTTCAGTCTTCAGACAACAGTCTGTAGCACAGTAACGCATCGACACGCCTCCATTGGCCCTTCGCTCTGGAAGAACAGTCCCCGGCACAGGCATTGTTCAAAACCCTCCTCTTACACTGCAGTGGCAAGGTGACTCGATCCAACTTTGCTCTGAGGGGATGTATCGCTTATATTTCTTGTTAGCAGTAGTGGATTAAATGAAACCTGAATTAGTGAACCAAGAATGAAAGCTTCTGCAGAAACTGTAAATCCTTTCCATGGTTTGCATGAAGATGATCAAAGGATTTGTGATGCTAAAAAAAAAATAAAAAACTGAAATGTTGAAAAAAAACAAACATAAAATCAGTTCATCAACAAGCCTTCTCTCGTGAAATCAGAAGCACGTGCATGTCCAGAAGCATGTGATGCTAAGGAGTGAACTCTGCATTTGTAGCTGAAGTGTTGCATCAAGTTGTAGCCTTCGCGAGGCTGCAGGATTCAGGGAATGCAAGTTGTTGCATAGCACATGCTGCTATGCAAGTTCAGAAACAGTTAAAAACACATAGCACTGCACACACTGGAAAAGAGGTTGGACCAAATCACAAAGAAAAATGAAAAGAAAAAAAGAAAAGGAAAAAAAAAAGAGAGAAAAAAATAGGATACTGTCTGTGGTACTTTTAACACTATACAGCATTCCCGATGTAAGAATGACGACTGACCAAACACAGCATTAAAAATGCTACACAAAATGGCATCACACCGTATATACACAATGCAGGTTAGAGAAGCTCATCTTTGTCGAATGGGTATAACTGATTATATTATCTTCCCATTTTCACAAGAGAACAGACTGCAGTATACTGCAAGTTTAAATAAGCTGCATTATATGTTAAATACAGCTACACAGAGAAGCAATGTGTTCCTGCACTGTCTTGATGTTATAGTTGAGTGTGTATATACTTGAATAACTGCTGCTCCTGTTTTTAAATGTGTAAGTCCACCCACCCCAAATGCTGGATAAAATATATTATACTGATATATTGTCTTTTAGGTTACTAAGTTTTATTTAGGCAAGACTGCTTGGCGCATCTGTTGGGCAAGGGATGTGTTGCTCTTAAGTCTCTGGCTATGTGCGGTGCAATTGGACGGGACAGTTCAAGCTGCCTCCAATGGCATGTCCTTGTCCAGTAACGTGACTAGATTGGCTCGACGTAATTGGCTGGGTACAGTCCCTCTCGGCCGTTGTCCAAACGACCTCTACACCAGCCCTGCTCGTCTTCGTCCTCAGTCTTGGTCAGTTCATCACCTGTCAAGGAAATTCCACGCTTTAATCAACACAGTCTTATGTGTCAGATAGTGAATGTAAATCTGCAATTTCTCTCCCGGGTTTATATATAACGCTGGATCAAGAGTGAACATCTCTCTGTGCTCCCAGTGGAATTTGATATTTTATTTATTTAGTTAGTTAAAGGAATAGTTGAGGGTCACAGGAAACACACTGTTTTGTTTGCTGTCTGAAGGACTGACATGACTCTTATGTCTGCACAGTAAATATGATATAACAGGTCACCAACCGGTTAGCTTAGCTTAGCATTAAGACTGGAAATAAGAGGAAACAGCTACAATGATGGTGCAAAGTTAACAAAATCTGCCCGACAGCACCACAAAAGATCATTGATGCTGACAGTGCAACTTGTTCCTGAGTTTATATTGTGTCTGTGAGGTTACCTGGAAAAAATAGTCCAGCACATAATCCAGTTATAAAACCACATAATACGTGAGCTCTTTCTTGTACTTCCCAAGAGGAGAAACTATTCCTTTAACTGTTTGAATTCTGTATGCTCTAAATGGTCTTCAAAATGATAAGCCTTTGTTAGATAGAAGTCCCTTTATTTTGCACACAGCAAAGCCATTGAGTCTAGAACATAATGTAACCAGCACATAAAACATCCACTCGGTGGTAGCCACAGAGCGGCCCTGTGTTTGTATAGGCATGCAGAGCTCCAGTTTACTTTGAGTTGAAGTTTTCCTAAGTAAATGACTCAAATTTGGCTGTGTGTTAGGCTGTGCCAACTCAGTTTAACTCCAAATTAAAGCCACCCTGTAGAGTTGTTGTTTTTAACCACAAGTAGCACTATGGAACAGCGATGTAATTCCTGCCAATAATTTCACACTATTTGACTGATCAGTGGGTATAAAATATATATAAACAGGATTTTAGAGGAAAGAAATTAATTCAGCACAGTTGTCAGGTCTGAAATACCCATAATGCAAATTGATAAGTTGCTCTAAATGCAAACATAGCATCTGTTTGTTTACAAAAAAAGACAAACCTCTTCTCTCAAACAGAGCAAAGAAACTCTTCCACTCCTGTTTGCACACAGGTGTGAAGAATCTTTAAAGCCTGCCTTTGGCCATTCCAAAGAATATACACAAAGAGTACATCTCAAACTGTGCGAATAAAAATGTGAATGTGTAGAATGAAGGTGCACAGCTGTGGCTCGATTGTTGCTCTGCGTAAAACCTTGTCTTTAAAATGTTACTCATGCTACAGTGTGGAGCTCTACAGCACTTTTTCAGACCTTTTCCAAAGAGCTGGTGTTAATTGGCAGCAAATGCCTGTAATTTGTTTTCCATGTGGCTATTATTGACTTATCACTGCTATCCTCTACGGAGGAATGAAGCTTTAGAATAGAAATTAGGACAGTTGCTTTTTGACCACCTGCATCATTTGCTCCAGCTTGTCTCCTGAATCTGCATGACGACGTATCAAGTCACAGAACCAAAGTCATCTTGTCACAGATAATTACCTGCTTTGAAGGTGAGTTCATCCTGTTCCTGGCCCTCGTAGTCATAGAGAGCTCGCACGCGGACCCCTTTTCCAGTGCTGGAATCGTCTTCGAACGAATTCCCATTGCCACCGTTCTCATTGCCGGAGTACGCAGTGGGTTGCTCATCATCGGACCACTCAGTCGAATAGGCTTGGTTCTTATCATAGCTGCTCACACTGGAGGGGAGAGAAAACGAAGGGGGGGAGGGAATTTGATGTTAAGCAATGTAAAAAACAAAAGACTAAAAACAAATTTAACGAGTCAACAAATCTCAAGAAAAGGTCAAAACCAATGATGTATTGATTCTGTTTGCAACTGTATGGAATACGCTTTGTGTTTCTCTCTGCCACAGACCTCCACTGATGCCCCCAAAAAAACAACAAATAAAAACACATGAATAAGCCCCAGTGTTGCACTGACTAGTTTCATTACAATGCACGTGGGCATCATAGTTTGTTTTGAGTCATTCCCGCATACGCCATCCTGCTGGCGTAAATACACACAAGAGTACCAAATCTGCAGCTGAAAATAGGCCACGCATGCACTGTTTACTCCTGTTTTTACACTGTTACAGCTTTAGAACCAGTGAGCTTGAGATTTATTGACAAAAACAAAAGCATAGAGTCAGATTAAAATTCAATTTAACTAAATATTCATCACGTCTGACATCTTTATTGTGAAATTTAATTCAAGATCTAATTTCATGATAGAGCAGATTGCGTTTCAGCGTGACTGATGGGATTGTAAACAAGAGATCCCTTGAACCGACCTGCTACGGTCACCAGGTGGAGCCACATGGTCGGTGCTCGGAGTGGGTGGGGCTCCATCTGGCTTCTTCTTCTTTGGAGGAGCAGCGGCCTGGTCTGGGTTGTACTCCTGTTGGGGAGAGTAAGAAGAAATGCATGAGCGGAACACGAATGAGTAGGAAAAACAAAGAAGAGGGGGGCTTCATTCATAAGTTTTGGTTCGACTGGTTGATGTTGTACCTCGAAGGCAGGCCAGTTCATATGCATCCCTGGGCCGTGGTTGTTGCTGAACCACTTCAGGTCCTCTTGTGTGTTTGCAGCCAGGATCGTGCGCTCCAGTTCTCTGTATATTGTGGCATAGCTGAGGAGACGGAAATGGAACAAATAGTGACAATGAGAGAGCCAGAAGGGACATGGGGGGTGCTGCCAATTTGGCAACAAAAACCACAGTGTCGTTCAAATTCTGGGTTGAGAGAGATCCAGCATTGGGTCATGACAAGACTGAAGTGTCTCCCTGAATTTTCTGCTCAAGCTGGAGCGCTCAACAGCAGAAATAACCCCGAATAATCCTATTTTTTAAAACACTGTTAATGTTGCCACAGTTTTTTCCAAAACATCGCAAAGTGTAATAGCATTAAAAAAAGGGCACATTCGCCCTGCATTTTAATTTTACAGGATAGACCAGGACTTCTGGGTGTCATATTAACACAGTAAATTAAGCACAAACAGCATCATAATTCAAGAGTTTTGTCCAAACCGTTAAAATGAACATAGATGCTGCGTGGGATTGAAGAGATGAGCTACAGCACGTTCATGAACACAGAAAATTAAGCAGCTTAATTTTAATAACTTGCTTTTTGGCAGATGAGGTTATGTTCTTCATAAAAGACGATCATTTCCTGTAATGTCTAACATGAGACCCTCTCTGTAGTTTCGCTCGGTGAGCCTGGAAGAATACGACAGCATATTTAATGTGAGGGCAGTGCAGTCTCACAGAGAACCTATGCTGCCGCTTTTGAGAGGACACAAGTACAGCAGAGAGGGAAAGCAGATTTAAGTAAGTATATTTAACAAGGTAAACTAAATCTTGACTTGCTCTGTGGTCATGATCATGCTAATTCAGATTTAGGCAGTGACTTTAGCTGATGATTCTAAACATGTTTATGGAGTAGAATGTGTTGTAGAAAAGTAAAATGTTTAATGATTGTAGACATTTAAACCGACATATATGAGACATGCATGTTAAGAGAGAAGTGGAAAAAGATGGAAAGAATCAAATCACAGGTGAATGATTGAACCAGTCAGGATGGACTACAGTGCTGTCCTCCAAAACACTCAGAAGCTTGAATAATCAATGGCAACCACAGTTGGCAGGTTAGTTTAAAGAGCCTGAAAATCACTTTGCCATGGCTCATGGCTTTGTTTGTTACATACAGGTTAAAAACAGCCCAGAATATGACAAGCATTAGCTTTGAACAAAATTCACTTTGGCAGGAACACCATTGACTGGATCATCAGTTAATTAGCGCTGTGAGTCTGAGCGCTAATGAGAAATACATGCCTTGTTGGGATGTGTGTTGAGATTAATCAGTCTGAAGGGAACTGTGCTGAATGTGACATAAGACAAATCAAACTAATCTATAATGCACTTGCTTGTGGCGTGGTTATGTTGCATGTATCAACTGTGCATAGAAACTGTATATAATGATAATTGTATGGACTGAAATTATATATGAGAGGGAAAACAGAAAGACTAGATGAACCAAACTTCAGGACTAAGACTTCCCAAGGACAGATATTGTATATATTAGACCAAAATGCAATCAAACCATACATAAAATCGCAAAAGGAAAAAGAGACAGTCTCTGCAGTCTGTTTTGCCCTTCAAATACCATTTTAAACACAGACTACGTGATGGAAAGACTCGCCACCTGAAGAATCCTGAAATCTATCAGTGAATTCCTGAATAAACACAGCTCTCACTTTGTTTGTACAAGGAACAGATGATTGTAACAACGGCCCTGGTACTCTGCAGTAGCCGTCACAAGGTTCCCCAGACGACTTTGTCATAAGCCTTTAATACATGACAGTCCACGTGATGATCAAACTTCCATGATTCCCTCAGTGACTCCGCAACAGTAAAGAGCAGGAGTCTGCATTGCTACTTCTGAATCTGGTCCTTGTACAACCAGCACAACCTCGTTTCTGCTGGTGCTGGTCTGTGCCAGGGTTTCCGCTTGTTTCCTATCCTGTTTGTGATATTAATGGACGGGATCTCAAGGTATGATCGGAGTGGGGAGGGTGTCCCGTTTAGGAAGCTTATAGTTGCGTCTCTGCTTTTTGTAGATGACGTGGTTCTGCTGGATTTATCAAGCTGTGACCTTCAACCTGTGCTGGTTCGAAGCTGAGAGCTGAGACCTGTGATCATGAGCTCTGGGTAGATACAAGCATCTGAAATACGTTTCCTCTGTAGGGTGGCTGGGTTCAGCCTTAGAGATCAAGTGAGAAACTCAGACATCCAGAAGGAGCGCTGGGAAGAGTCACTGCTCCGTCATATTGAAAGAAGCCGGCTGAGGTAGTCCAGGCATCTAATTGAGATGCCTGGACTACTGGTGCCTTCCTGTGGAGGTTTTCTGGACACGTCTGGAGGCAGTTCTTTAAGATAGCTGCTAAATGGAGAGACTTGCCTTTAAAGACTCTAAAAAACATAAATAGAGCTTCACTGCTTCAGCCAGACTCACCTTTGGTTCTCAGTGAGGTTAAGATGGCGCTTGATGTCCAGCAAGGCTTCCTTGAGGAAGGTCAGCCTCTTGACTTCGTGCTGCTGGCACTGGTCAAACACCTGCTCCATGCTCTCCATGTACTGTGGAGTGCACTTGTTCAGCTCCTCCAGAGACTTCTCATACTTTTCTTTAGCCTGAAACAGAAAAGACATTAAAAAAAAAAAAGGGTGAATAAAGATGATTTAAAATAAACCATTTCAGAATTATTTTTTATTTTAATAGCTGGTGTGATCTTATTTGTAACTTGGAATACAGCTTGATCACAGATTTACATGCATAAACAAACTTAAATGGCCTTTTATCACATCAAAAATATTTTTAAAAAACCGCTTCTGCTTTCACACTGCAAACATCTATGGTAACACAGCATCTTAAGTGTTCATTTAAATAAGAATAAGTCAGAAACCTGATCAATTGGCCTAATCAATAGCTATTTAAAGCCCTGCCAGGACACCAATATACATTAGCTGTGAGAAAGAGATTGAACCAGCAGGATAAGATAAGCTGTGGTCTGTCCAGCTACTGATAAATGTCACAAAAATAACAAGAACAATTAGCTCAGTGTTCTGACACATATCAGTGTAAAACGATATATTTTTTATGATAGTGTGTATTTGTGTGTGTTGATCTGCTCTTAATCAGAAAACATCTCCTGAGGAGCAACACCTTTGTTTCTTACTCATCGCAACATGAATAAACTTCAAAGGTTTTAATGTCTTTACCTTCTGCACATCCTGTTTGCATTTGTCCCATTTCTCGTGGAGTTTCTTCTGCTGATCTGGCGTAACAGAAGCCTCAGTCTTGCCGTTGGCCTCTCGGGTTGCAGCCAGTTTCTCCTCCTTGCAGGCCATGTGGTACGCCTTCTTAGCCGTCTCCATCTGTAGGTCCAAACACAGGCATTTTCAGTATAACATCTGATAATATATCTGATCTGATCAAAGGAACACAATGGACTAACAATTTAAAATAGGAATGACCTTTTATCTGATCGTTAATATTTATCATGTCTCTATAATTTCAGGATTAGAGCCATATTTAGGTATTTTGCACAAAATGTCAGAATGAGTACTGCTCCAGTTCATGCACAGGGAAGGAATGAATCTCTATTCATGCAGAAAACCCAGTCAGACCTCTATCTACTGGGGCCTTAGTCGCACCCAAAGAGCCTTTCTAAACCATCAGTTAAAGTGAATTCAACTTTGAACACAGTGTTGTTTCAGCAGTTTTAGGCAGAGATGTCAGTACACAACATGTCTGTCTAAGCTGCAAACAAAGACTTGGTCCCTTGACAATTAATTAGTGACCAAATCAGTCACCTCATATTTTTTTGGTTTGAAATATAACAAACCATAGTATAAGTAGTAAGTATAAGTCTTGGCGTGAATCACGAAATGGGTGCATCCATAGAGAGTGTCATTAGGGTAGCCTTTCTCTCTGCTGTTCTCAGACTTGCTTAAGTGCAGATATCGATTTGTTTGGCCACTTGGGGGCAGCGGGAACAAATGGCAAACGCATATTGGCATCTTTTAACATAATATGGTAAGCTTGTTAGCCAATATTCTATCTTACTATTACCAATGTAGCGTATGTGCACACATAACGGTTCTGAAGAAACATTCTCATCTAATTTAAAACCATTTTTCTGGCCAACTGGTGACTGCAAGTCCTATATTTATTCTCTTTTATGTGTTTTTGGTCTCTGCCCACATCTGGGGGAAAGATTTGGCTCCTGAGCTGCTAAACGCTCCACTATGTTTCACTAAATGCAGCTGACTGCTGAGGTCAAAAATGACACCATGAGAGTGATGAAGGTGAAACAGAAAGGTGAAGATGTAGCCAAAATAAGCTTCAACTCAATATAAAACTCTCTCAAGCTGAAGGAAGCTGCAGATTCAGGTAATGATTCTCTGTTTTATTGTTATAGCTTGTTTTAATTTTTTACTCTTGTGGAAACATTGACTATTGCTTTTTTATTTTTTTTAATTCCACTGTTAAAGAAATAAGGTGAATTTGATCTTCTTTGTATAAAAACTGATACAAAATAGCTTTAAAAATCACAAAGCCCAGCAAGGTCTTGAACCTGGTATTGGCTTCTGTATTGCAATTTTTCCTTTCTGTATTGTATTTTCATGATGGTTATAGAGTTTAAAACAGTGGACAGTAAAAGATTAGTGAGGAGTGATTACATCGTTGATGCAACAGTGAGAAAGAGAGCACTACATAGCTCTTTTAGTCTTCCATGTATGTACTGAATTACTCAGATGACAAAGATGATGACTGAATTTGTCCTCGTCATCCCTCTCACCTCCTTAAGCTTTTTGGCCCATGGTTTCTGAGCCTTCTTAAAGCCCTCCTCTGCCTCTTTGGCCTCCTTGAAGCCTCCAATCATTTGCTTATGATATGCCTCCTTCTGCCAGTTCTTCACTTTCTCCACGTCTTCGTTCAGCAGGTTGTTCTTCACGTCTTGGTGCAGCTCACTCACTTTATCTGCCTCGGTCATCACGGCCAACCAGGCTCTCTCCACGGAGCCGTACTGTGGACCTGAGAGTCGGAACAAAATGATTCATTCCAAATTAAAAATTCAGGGCACTACTGCTCAGTCAATTATTACCAGACAGCAAACATTTCACTGTGTAAATGGAGATTTGGCAAACTGAAAGACAGTGGGAGGTACATTCATTTGCTGATCTGTTTTTTTTGTTTTTTTAATCATTCCAAAATCTTACCTTTCTCAATGAGTTGTCTCCATCTCTTGGACCAGGCAGTTAGCTGATCCCCGTAGGCTTTCTCTATCTTGGCACGTTCCTGCAGGCAGCCCATAAGATCATTGCAAAGCCGATGGCCGTCGTCAAATCTCTTGACAGCACGTTTGTAGTTCCCCACCTGACAACACAAAGGGAGATTGAACGGTTAAGTGGAAGGACTCGGAAGTAATTTTCCTTTACATACAGTACATCACAGATTGAAGTGTACTTTTACAAATTTATGAATGGTATACTGTATGCTTTAAAACGTGTCAGCTAAGATGAAGGGAAGATGCCCCCTAAAGAACATCTGATTTTCTGAAAAAAACAAAAACAAAAACAAAAACAAATGATGGTGAATTACATGGTAGTGTATGTCAGAGCTACAGCATATCCCAAAAAAGCTTAAACAGATTGCAGTTGGATGCTCAAAATCATTTGTTTTTATTCATTTTTCCACAGAGTAAAAGAAGACATTCTCAAAAGTAATTCAAACATTCAGCTACTTTTTAATTTTGTCACACTTTCTACATGTTAAAAGCTATGACTACGTTATGATTTATTATTATTATAATTTTTAAAATCTGAATGCTATTTGAAGGTAAAGTGCTGGATTTTTTTAGCAGCAGTAAATTTTTCTCTTATCGACCCAAACAAGCAGGAAGCATCAACGTATATGTGCTGATTTGCTTTCCTCAAGTGTGGAAACTAGATTGAATGTCTTGAAGAGAATGAACAATTTTAGATTTTTTTTAAAACTAGCATGCTCTTCGTCATGCTCGATTCCTCATTTTATTTACGTTGATTAATCTGTATTCGACTTAACAGAGAGATCATTTAAAACTAACAAATTAAATCAAGTTTCCTCAGAATCTGTTCTTGTCTGCAAAGTTCCAAAACAAATGTACATTTACAGCTCTTGGTACACCAAACTACTTCCTTCTCAGTGATCATAATGTTAAATCAATGCTTCTCTGAACATTAGAATCTTCATTACGTCAGGGTTTACTACAATACTGCTGTTTTAACTATATTAGTTTTAGCTGTGAACCTTAAAAAAAATGTAAACAGATATGGCCAACCTTACTTTCTGAGTAAAGAATCAAAAAATTTTTTTAAATTCTTGCCAGCCAAACATCCTAGTATTCAGAGGTATTTTCAGTCAAAACTATTTCACTGCATTTTCTTTTACAATCTCGCCACCTTAAGTGATGCTGCCTTAAAAAGAAGCAGAGCAAGGCTGTGTGGCTCCGCCTCTTTGGTGCCTGCAGGGGGCGTGAGCTCATGGTGCATGATGAAGGGAGGGTAGTGAGGGGGTTTACTCGTGCCTGTGCATGTGTAGTTATGCAATGACATGGGCTTGTGTTTGTGTGCGTTCATGAATGTGTGTGTGTGTGTGCACAAATTGTGGCTGCTTTAATCCTCTTGAGTGGTGTAACGCAGTCAGACAGATTCTCAGTGAGAGATGACGAGGTAGAGTCAGAAATACCACGGACTGTTTGTGTGCGCGTATATAGGCTGTAAATACGTACAGTCATATGCAGCATCGTACAGACACAACTCGTGGAGAGCGCGTCTGACATGTTTGCAGGCTGCAGAGCTGTGCTGTGATTGGTCCTGACACGAGCATGCATGTGTGGCTACTGTTTGAGATCAGAGCTGCGGGGAAACTGTGAGACAGGTGTTTAACGGTATGAGTTTTGGCCCGTGTGACAGATTGCCAAGTCACACCAACAACAACACGTAGGTGGACTGGTTGTACACATAAAAACACACCTGAGCTCTTGTGTTTGCTCTGAAATATCTAGGTATGGCTCTGCCTCTCATCCTGTTTGTATAACAAACAACCTTTTTCTGATGACAAAACCTGTGAGCAAAGCATCTTTTTGTCATTTATAAACCACGATCTGACCTTCGCTGCCTTGCTAGTATACAGATGCTATATGCAGGTGCATGTGGTGAAAGGCTGCCTCAGAGCGCCTGATGACTGAGGCTCTTTGTCTGAGTCTCTGTGGCCGAGACCATGATACAAAGAAGACTCTGTGCTGAGGGAATTCATTATTGCTAATTTGGTGGGTTTAAAGTGTACACAGACACACAAACAGTAGTGTTCTCATCACGTCAGAGAACATTACATCGGCTTACATTGATTTCTGCAGACCTACTCTAACCCAAATTGTAATTACTACTTGCCTATCGCTATCCTTACCTTAAGCTTGAACCCAGTCTGCAAAGATTAATGCTTTACCTTATGGATGTTTGCTTTTTGTCCCCAAAAGGAGGGCAAATCCTCACAGTTTGACTGTTTAAACACGTTTATGTCCACACACACAGCATTTCAGCACAAGTAAAATGGACAGAAGTTGCATGTTGTCTATATTTGTTGGGATTTACAATACATAAATTGGCAACAAGGATCTTCGTTATCCATTTAGTTTGTGTCAAGTTATTTAAGCAAAAGACAGAGCTCATTTAAACCAGGAACATAATTCTTACATTGTTCTCATTTTGTTTTGTGAATATATACATTTACTATTTAAAATAGTTGCCTTTTGTTTCATAGCCTGCATCACTTCTTTCCCTCTCTTTATGTAGGGATGATTCATAATGCTGATTTTAGCCAGAGAAAGATACAGAAAGCTAAAAATGCAAATAAGCCCAGGTTTATATAACTGAAACTTTCATTTATTTAACTATGCAACTCATGGGACATTTTTTTTTCTTTCTGGCAAGAATGAGTCTCCTTAATGATTCTCACCAAAACGACCCCCAAAACAAAACAAAACAAAACCACAAGACAGGCAGTGGAAGCTCATTTGATTAGTTTATAAAGTACATGCAATGTAATTATTCCGATATCTTAAATAAGCTGTCAAACCACGATGCCATACAGACACAAAGAGGGCACCATGTAATGAAAACATCATTTTTTTGTTTTGTTAATATTATGGGACTGCTGTGCTCTCCCCTTGGGTTGCACTACAAATTTTATTCACCTGCTTTATCTACTGCATTGAACTTCAGCTTATTTATATATATTTTTAAATAATTACTTTGTTTCTTTAACACCTATCTTAATGCATTGTCCTGTGTTTTATGTGCAGCAGTTTGAGTTGCCCTGTTTTTAAAAGATGCTATATATGAAAGCTTGACTTGTTTTACCTTATATTTTTAGCACATTGATTACCAACACAAACACGGCAGTGTTACGTTCACAATAAAGTTCGGTAGCTGCACTTCTGCCTAATCAGATAAAGGAATTCACAACTACTCACAAAAGCTTTGAATTTAAAACAGTAATTTGACATGGTGGGAAATTCATTTATTTGCTTTTCTGCTGACTCTATTATTTGTTTATTCAATATAAAGCTAGCACAGTTAGCTTAGTTTTGCATACAGATCACAAATAGGGGCGATACAGCGAGCTTGGTTCTGTCTGAATCTAACAAAAACCACCAACTAACATCTCTGAAGCTCAGTAAGGAACAGGTTTATTAAATGGATTAAATGTGAGTTAAATGAAAAGATACTAGAGTGGTATCTTTGGTCTCATTTAACCCTTGGAAGGACAGCGAGAAGCAGCAAACCCTCCTTTAAAGTGTAAATCTATGCATAAACCGTGTTCTTCTGCTGTCTTCAAATGTGGATTACATCAGAAGTGATCTTCTGCCCTGAAGCTCAGTGGAAATCAAACTGTCTCATTACAACTTATGAGACACTTCTATTTGATTTCAGGGGCTGGATCAATACAAAACAGTGATCGGGTGAGGGGTTGCGCTGCAGGTCGAAAGCCCATCAGAACAGACGTGACTGTGACTCTTTACCTCCCAGAAGCTGTCCATGGTGTCGTCAGCACCTGCACATTCATCGTAGGAGCCAGACATTTTCCTGGATGTGGCAAAGCACTCTAATGTCTAAACCTGTCCTCTGCAGCAGAGCTGGGTTCCTCATGCACTGCAAGAGACAAAGAGAGGGAACAACAACGTGAGACAGTGGCACTACACAGTTGCAGAAACAAAGCAGTGCAGTGACAATTAGTAGAGAAACATGGCCTAGCTGGCCTCTGTGTGGCAAATTTCCCTGGTAACTGGAGGGAACCTTACAGTGTGAGCGTTTCTATTTGAGACGTTTATAATAATGAGATAAAAATAGTCTCCTCCGTCATGCATACAGCGCCGTGCCCCCGAGGAGCGAGAAGGGGCATCTTATATTGGTATGTCCTAGAAAAGACACCAGAAAGAGTGGAGCATCGGCACGGCTCTGACCCTGAATCTCTCCACAGCGAAAACCCTCATTCTTTTGACACAATAAATCTGAGAGATAGCTGAGCAGCGCACACTACGCATGAATAGCTGCAAAGTTCAGCCGCCCAGAAATGCACCTAGTGTGTAAACATAGAATCGTGTTAAGTGCAGCCTTGAAATAGAACGGAGGCAAACACACCGAAGCAGGATCAACGCGCCTACTTATACACCTATATGTGTCCTTTAATTGTGCTTCTTAATCACTAATTACTTGGTCAAGCCTGCAGAACACAGTTACTCCTCAAGCATTTAAGGTGATTTATATTTATTTGCTTGACATGTGTTCGATATTTTACCACCAAGGTGAAAGCAGAAGCGACTGCGAGCCATTATATTGGTATTGAATTCTGTTTGAAGCCTAATCCATTTGGCTCTCATGACTAATGCATTTTCCTTGACAGAGAGCTCTTCATTGCACTGCAACAACCAGCAAGACAATGGTATTTATAGAAAAGTATATAATATTAATGAGGCGTTGTTAATAAAGTGCCTGCCTGCCATGGTTTCCTGGTGGATGGCACTTATAGTTCTGCACATGCTCCAACAGTGCCAAACACAACATTTAACACTATTCATGTTTTGAATTCAAACAATCAGGCGTTTTGCCAATTTCTATTAAGGAAAGTGTGCAGTTCTTAGTATGCACAGTCCAAACTGAGCGTTGGTTAAGTGTGCTAGATAGAGGTCAATGCAGATGAAGGATGACTCGTGGCTATTTCAGATTACAAACTGAGTCAGCACTCTACAGCCGGCTGCATCACAAGGAATATTTTGTTCAAATATTGCCACAGCCCTTCGCGCTTCATCCCTCAACCTCCTTCTGCAGTCAAGTACAAATTGATTCCCGCAACATCCTTCATCCCTGGAATGAGTCATGAAAAAACAGCTTTCTGCATTAGGCTCAGTTGGCACTGGCCTGACCTCGCTTTCTTTACACGCAACATAACAGCATAATTGTCCTTGTGAGAAAAATGAGAGTCTTGAAACTACAAGGTCAGCTCATAAAGGAGAAGTGTCTTTAGCAGCAGCTTCTGCAACATGATCAGTGTTTTCACAGGGGGGGGAGAGAAGGGGGTCTACTCATCAAGACGATATCAGGGGAACATTTGTACCCTGTGTGATTGATTCTGGTTTGAGCTGGAGAGCAGGCAGTCCAGTCCAGCTCAGTCAGTGTTTCTACAGAACATTGACTGATTTAGCCAAGCTGTATTTTTTTTTTTGTTTTTTTTAAAAGCCCTCAGCTACTATCACTGGTCTGTAAGAGTTTTAACAGTTGTGGCTTTCATCCGCTGGCTATTATCAAGAGTACACTCTGTGCTGGTGCAAAAATACCAAACAACTATTTGGTGATTTAGCAATTTTACTGTCAGAGATTGAATCATAGACAACTTGAGTCTTTGAGTTGCAGTGGGATCAGCAGTAAAGTATTTTTTCAGATGAAGGGAGAGCTCCAAGACTCTGAGAGAGAAAGAGAGAAAAAAGAAGAAGCTAGGTTTTGTGTTTGAACTCCAGTGTTTGATATAATAGACAAAGCATATACTATAACTCCTGTGAGGAAAAAAAACAACACAGCGATTTAGGTTTTTACAGATTCAAAGACTGTGTCCTAGTGCACACGTATAGATCTGATATCATGATGCATAACATTTCCTTCAGTGTCCTCTCATACATTGCCGTCCACATAGATCAACGTTTACATCATTTACATTTTGACATTCTTGAAATATTCCAGAGCCCACCCTGAATTGACCAACATGTTTGGCTATGACACTGTGTACTTTTCAGCACCTTCCAAAGAACGTGCCTCCACAACAACAAGGAAACACCCCTCAGCACCTCCCTTCATGAAAATGGGTACATGACCCCTTTCTGTCAATCCATGCAACACTGCGAGGCCACGTCAGCCACACTCACAACCTGCACAACAAACTCGAGAACCATTTGGGTTTTATAATAGATGCCGGTGAGATACTGAATACAATCCATGACAATGAGGACATTCCAGTTTTCTCACTGACCCCTGCTGAGGAACTGAACTCAATCCTTCCTAATCCTCCAACTCTTCCTCGTCTTCAGAGGGTAGCTTTAGAAATTAGAAGCTTTCATGCGGACAGTTACATTAGATGATTGATACCTCTCTTGTGTAATGACTGCAACTTACAGCTCTTTGCCCTTAGCTTTGTATAAACTAAACTTTACACTGAGCTGTGACATTTTTCCTTACCATGGGGCCAGTTTTTCACTGCTACACCTCTATGCAAATAGCACAACCATGGCTAGAAGAGAACGCAAAAGTATTGTCTTTGGAGTGTGGCACAGTTATAATGCCACTAATCATGGATTAAAAATAAAAAATTACAGTGGCATTTGTTTGATTACTGATTTTTCAAAAATCCAAGCGTCGATACTGGAGAAAAAATGATGGCCTTACATTATATAGATTTTTATTACTTACATTTTTAATTAGGTATCATTGTTATCATATTTTCCTCCCATCTGCTCTGTGTAAACACGGCCTGCAGTTCAGCCTAAAACTCCTAGAATTTTCACAACTAAGTTAATAATAGTTTCATAGTTGCAGCAATGAGGGCTTTTTTTTTTTTTTTTTTTTTACAGAATCTGGTTCAAGCAAATATTTCTTTTGGCAAACTTTTAAAAGACACGCAGAATAAAGTGATTTTGAGGAAATATCATTGTTTGACGCTAAGATTTCGTTGTCTCCCAACTGAATGGCACATCACAGATGAGTAGCTAGTCAGAAAAGTCAAAATCTAACAATTCTCTTACAGTTTCTGGCTCTAACGAATGATGTAATTTTGTCTTTAAAAAAAAGAGAAAAGATAACATGCGTTTCATCCTGCTAGCAGGTTTTGGGTTCAGAGGGCTAAAGGTAACAAAATCCAGCAACCAGCACATTTAAAGCCTTCGATTTAACCCCTTTTATCTGGTTTAAACCATAAAAAAATCCCAAGTGTAGGAACGACAAATTTCCTTTCTTTAGTTTCTGTGCTAAGCTTGGCTAACTAACTACTACTTGTAGCGTCATATTTAGTGTCCAGACATTAAAGTGCTTTCAATCTTCACATTTAACTCTCACATTTACATGAGTAACAGGGCCTAATTGGGCCTAATTTAATAATATGCTGTATCTAAAATTGAGCAACAGTAAAACAGACTGATCTATTTTTTTTCCCCTTGGGACCTGTGTCCATATTGTGTATGCATGTAGCAAACAAGAAAACTGAGGCCCTCTGTGTACACAACTCCAAAACAAACAATGTTAACCACAGGCCTGAAACACTTGACTTGTATAACAGCATGCCTTTAGTTCCAATTAAAGTAAATACACTGAAATCCATATACAGTAAACAGTCGACTGTATGATGCAAGACAGCCTCATACAGCTCGAGAATTAAGCAGCCCCAAAGTACTGTTTCTTAATCCCTGCAACAAACAAATACCATTGGTCCAGCTACCTGTCCATCATTCAAATCATCCAATAAGCCCCAGCATGCACAACTACAATATCTAATGACGTCAAAGCTAGTTAAGCTTGGAAGAATGCCAGAATACCAGCAAAACCAACAGATCCGTACGCTTAATTTAGCTAAAACTCTTTGACCAATATAACACAACGGTGATGTTTAGAAAGCATTTGGATGAAACAAATAATCCCTTGAGAGTATCCCCACACAGAAAGTCAATCTTAAAATAGACTGCAGTCAGATGAGTCTGTGGCATGGTTTATAATGTATATGTGTTGTGCAGATAAAAAGACAAAAGTTATTTAGTCTAAAAATGCAAAAAGAAAAACTAGTCTGACATCCATACTGGCCACACACTTCATTTTATCTAAGAACAGTGTCACTGGCCTTCGTTTACCAGGCCAGAGAGCAGAAAAAGAAAATTAAAGTGCGTTTTGGTCCATTGTAGGAGGGTGTTGTGTGCAGCATGAGACAGATGAAGGTTGGGGGTGGCAGTGATAAGCATTCTGGAGAGGGGCTTACACTACAGTTATTGAGGTCAATCCACCTCAGTGACTGTGAACACACCTCCCATTCCCTGAGTATTAACCGGTGAGGAAGTCATAGTAAAGACAGAATAGCGTTTCTAAAATTACTAAGCGTGTAGCGAAATAAGTTTTGTAAAAAATGGCAGAGAAAAATAAAAAATGCCTACATGTAATCAAAGGAAACAGTCAAAATACTGCACACAGAAGGAAAGTGTTTAAATAACAGCTGGTCTGTGCAAGAAACATTTATCTATTTGGATGCATCTTCCAATCTGAAACCACTAACAACCCACTCACTGTCCTAAACACTTCTTGTCAAAGCAATCCGTCTTGTAATCTTCAGTCCTTTAGAAGTCTGTTGCAGTTGCAGAGCCAGTGCTAATGCACTACAATCCAAACTTTTTCAAATCTGTTAGTAACCAGTCATTCTTCTGCACATTCACTTACCATGTTTGGCTCCATCATTGCAAAATTAAAAAAAAAAAAATCCCCAAATTTGTAATGAAACACAGAAGACCAGGCTTGGTGATGTAGTCCAAATACTTCCTTTGTAGTTGGTTCTTCAAGT